AAATTTGTAGTCATTTACTAGTATAATGGAGTTACAAAAAAGAAAACTAATACTGAGTTGATCATACTTTATGTGTCTTATTAGGAAAAATGCCTGCTAAATAATTTCCCATTAAAATTTTTATTTTTTACCTTTTTATTATTGAATTGTAATCATTCTTTATTTATTCTGGTTAATAGAACATTATCAGACATATGATATTCAAATATTTTCTCTTTGGGGATGTTGTTGTTTTCACTTTCCTGATAGTAACATATCACACATGAAGAACCATCTTTCTATATAATTTTTCCATATCTTCTTTTGTTGCTTGTGATTTTGTACTATATCTAAGAAATTATTGCCTTTTCCAAGATTACAAAGACAGATTTCTAACATCTGTTTTCTTCTAAGAGATTCATAGTTTAGCACTTGCATTTATGTCTTTGGTCCATCCATGTTGTGTTAATTTTTGTACATGATTTAAGGTCAAGCTGCAACATCATGATTTTGTGTGTACCCACTTATTTCATCATATGCTTGAAAAGTGAGCTTTTATTATTTTTCATATTGCTTGATATAATTACTCCACAAGTAAAATGGAGGAACTATTAATTTATAAAGATGATATCCTAGTGGAAATCATATAAGTTGAGTGGGAAAGATGTAAGAGTAAGTCAGGGGAAGACTGTTTATTCAGTTGCAGGTAGTATTATGAATGTTTAAAAACAAAGGGAATGAATGCATGAATATTTCAGGAACCAACATTGATAGAAATGTCTGGTCTGGCAGTTTTAGACTTGTGGATTATGGCAGCTACAAATAAATGTATGGAATGGATAGTTCCCTAAGGGAAAACTCCTTGTACTTGTACTTCTATGTACTGACTTTATCCCTTTTAGAAGCATCTGTATTTAGATAATTGAAGGAATAAATTTTGTTCTTTTTGTATTTTATTATAAAGAAAATCTGGTAAGTTTTTCAATTGATTTCTTTCTCATATTCCAAAAAAGGAGACAAATTACCTGATATTTTTATAGATCCTTTAATGACTGAATTCTTATATTCATTTTTCTTCATATAAATATAATTTGTCATTCTTATATGCTTGTGTAACTATCTTCACATATGTCAAGGCGTGCTGTCATTTGTTAATAGTCATTTTGGAGCTTGATGGTGTGTATAAACTGTGACAGCTTTAACTAATAAATAAGGCTGAAATATCTTTAGAGATTTCACAACTGTCAAATATTGTAGCTCTATTGGGAGATGTTTAACTTTGCTGGTATTTAAACTCCTGCTTCCAAATGTCATATGCATTGTATATTACTATTGCTTAAATATATATAAGATTTGAAAAACTGTGTTATACATATCACATAATAGTATACACAAACATAACTATTTAAATTAAGTTTCTAGTACCGATCTTGTTTCTGAAACAATTGTGATTGTCAAATGTTTGTTGCCTGTTCCAGTTGTATATCTAGATTTAGTTTAAGCTTGGCTTCAAATAAATAAGAACAATGGAAAAAAAAAAAAAGAAACATTCTATGATGGTTACCAGGGGTGGGAGAAAAGGGAAAATTAGTCACTGTGTAGAAGCAGACACATGTTAACTTGGGTGATGGGGAAGGCAATATACAAGAGGGAGGTTGAGACTGGAAAGAGGAAGGTAGTGGAAGACACAAGGAGGAGTGTAAGAGTTAAAGTTGTCATTGTTGTTAAGTACCGTGGAGTCGGTTCTGACTCATAGTGACCCTGCACAGGGTTTCAAATCTTTACAGGAACAGAAAGCCTCATCTTTCTCCCACGGAACAGTTGGTAGTTTTGAACTGCCGATCTTGAGGTTAGCAGCCCAATTTGTAACCACTACGCTACCAGAGCTCCTTTAGAGTTAAAGTACATAGAGGTAAATAATGTTAACTGATTGTACTTAGAAGGGATTGCAATCATTGTAAAGATACGAAGTATATGATTTATTGAATGTAGGACTGATTTCCTGTAAAACTTCACTTAATTCACAATAAAAAGTTAAAAAGTAAAAAACATACTGGAAGAACGCATAAGGTCATTAAAAAGATAGGAAAGAAAGAAAATATCAAATGTCAGAAGAGACTCTGAAACTTACTCTTGAGTGACTAGAAGAAATGATGAAGTAAAAGAGCTGAACAGAACAATTCAGAGGGCAGCTTAAGAAGACAAAATCAAGTATTATAATGAGATGTTCAAAGACCCGTAGTTAGAAAACCAAAAGGGAAGAATATGCTCAGCATTTCTCAAGCTGAAAGAACTGAAGGAAAAAATTCAAGCCTTGACTTGAAATATTGAAGGATTCTATGGGCAAAATATTGAATGATGCAAAAAGCATCCAAAGAAGATGGAAGGAGTACAAGAGTCATTGTACCAAAAAGAAATGGTCAATATTCAACCATCTCAAGAGGTAGCATATAAGCAAGAACTGATAGTACTGAAAGAAGAAGTCCAAACTGTAGTGAAGGCATTGGCAAAGAACAAGGCTCAACAGACTGAAGAGACCCATATTTTTGCCCATTCCAAATACAAGTGACTCAATGAAATGTGGAAATCATTAAGTAATATATCACATGCAAGTAAAATTTTGCTGATGATAATTTAAAAATTGTTGCAACAGTACATAGACAAGGAACTTCCAGAAATTCAAGTCAGATTCAGAAAAGGATGTGCAACTAGGGATATCATTGCTGACATCTGATGGATCTTGGCTAAAAGCAGAAAATACCAGAAAGATATTTACTTTTGGTTTATTGATTTTGCAAATGCTTTCTACTATATGGATCATGACCAACTATGGATAACATTACAAAGAATGGGTAATCCAAAACATTCAATTGGGAGGTACCTGGTTTTTGACAGGTGTAACATATCCCTTCTTTCGATAGTCGATGGAATCGGGGGTTCTGCCCTCCCAATCTGGGATATAGAGAGTGTCATTATTCTGGGATTTAGAGGAGAGTACTTTCAGTCCTGTCATCTTCTGAACTACCTCTTCACTGGTCTAGGACAAAGAAGAAAGATGATGAGCAGGAAATGGAGACAAGCAGGGCAGGCAGGCCAGGCACTGAGGTTCAACTCACCATGTCCCCCAAGTGGTTCATGGCCAGTTCATATGTGTGGACACCAAGAGCGGCCTCAAGGTTGTGGATGGAGATATACTTCAAGTTTTTTTCCCAAATTAAACGCCGAGAGATTTCATCCACCTAAACAAAAGAGTAGTCAGTATTGGCATAGATTGTGTATCATAGGTAATATTGTGGAAGTTATAGTGGTAGGGATGAAACTCACATTAATAGAGAAACTACAATCAATTGGAGAACTGACCATAGAATTGTTAAAAGCATATAAAAAGAAATAAATATCCACATATAAACTAAAGTACATTAGAGGCACAGTAATAAATACACTCATGGAAGCAGCAGTCAAGAAATCAAACCATGTATTGCATTAGGCAAATCTGCTGCACAATAACTTTTTAAAGTGTGGAAGAGCAAAGATGCCAGTTTGAGGACTAAGCTGCACCTGACCCAAGTCATGGTATTTTCAATAACCTCATATGCATGTGAAAATTGAACAATGAATAAGAAAGACTAGAAGAATTTATATAGTTCAGTTACTGGAGGTGAATACTAAAAGAACCATGGAGCATCAGAAAAACAAATGAATCTGTGCTAGAAAAAGTACATCCAGAACGCTCCTTAGATGTCAGGATGGTGAGACTTTGTCTCTCATACTTTGGACATGTTGTGAGGAGGGACCAGTCCCTGGAGAAGAACATCATTCTTGATAAAGTGGAGGGTCAGTGAAAAAGAGGAAGACCCCCCAAACAGATGGATTGGCATAGCGGCGGCAGCAGTGACATCAACCATAACAATGATTGTGAGGTTGGCACAGGACCGGGCGGTGTTTCATTCTGTTGTGCATAAGGTTGCTGTGGGTCAGTATTGACTTGATGGCACCTAGAAACAACAACAGATAAAACCAAATACTTCTTGGAATTGTGTTACTGGGTTGAGGGGTTAGGGCAATACTCTCAAGTGAGAGGGGAACGGGGAACTTGGTAAATTGGCATAACATAGCTCAAAAGGCTAATGTTCCATCTACTAGTTTGGTGAGTAGCATCCGTGGTCTTAAAAGCTTATGAACATCATCTAAGATACAACTATTAGTCTCTATAAGCCTAGAGCAAAAGAGAAAAAAGGAAACCAAAGATTCAAAGAAGAAACTTATCTATAGGACTAATAGACTACCAACCACCCAGGTCTCACCTACTTTAAGATCAGAAGAACTAGATAGTGCCCAGCTACTGCTACTGACCATTCTGATAAGGGGCACAATCGACAGTCCTTCATAAAATGGGTGGGGAAGGGTTGTAGACTAAAACTCAAATTCCTAAAAAAGGCCAGACTTACTGGACCAAAAGAGACTAGAGGAACCCCTGACTATTGACCTGGGATACCCTTTAAACGTGCAACTCAAACCACATCTAGAGGTCATCAGCCCTCAAAATAAATAATACCACCTGTATGTACTGTGCTCCTATCAACAACCATCTAAATGAGACCTAACTGTCAAAGAGGATGAAAAACTAAGGGAGATATGGAAGATCGATTAATAAAAAGAAACCACCAGAATTTATTTAATGAGAACGCTGACACATTGTGAAAAGTGTAACCAATGTCACCGAATAGTATGTACAAAAGTTGTTAAATGACAACCTAATTTGCCATATAAATTTTCTCCAAAATTATGATAAAATATTTTTTAAAGAACTTTAAAAAATAGAAGAAATATATAAATAACTACAAACAATAGAATGCAAACTCTAGGGAGATGTATAGAAAAATTGATTACAGATTAATAGAATTATTCTGACAAGATTTTTCAAAACAGAGATGTTGGATAGCAACTGTATAAAGCAAAGGAAGGACAGGGCTTGATGGTGAGTTAGGTACAAAAATAAAAACTGTATGTTAAGTGTTAAGAGATAAGGGTAAGTGTGCTTGGTGGAGGATTCCAGTATTTAAATGGAATAAAGGAGTTTGGAAACTAGTAAAGGATCAGAAAAGCCTCAGGTCCAGCCCTCCCACCATGTTCCCCTCCATATTCCTGAGAACCTTGCTATTATACTGCTTCCCGTAGGTCTTCTTCCATAGGTCCCACTGGGTGTCCAGTATCTCCTCAGGGTACAGAGCACAGCTCACCATGGGTAGCAGTAGAACCTTGAGCCCCCACATCCTGGGGGAGGGGGACAAAGAGGAGAAGGGGCTCACAGCTTGTCTTATGATGAGGAAGTAGCTGTAGCCATACTCCCAGTCAAGTGACTGCAAACCTTTTGGGAGTCATAGACTCCTTTGAGAAGTCAATCAAAGCTTCCCTTTCATAGGAAAGCTGCATACACACACAATAATCTAGGGAGTTCATGAACCTGAAGAACCCTTTCCGTCCAACAATGAGAAACAGAAAAATTAGGCTCCGTGAGGAAGGTAGACGGAAATGAGGATAATTTTTCTATGATAAAACAAAGACAGGAGGGATCTGGATTTAGATGAGGTACTGGCAAATCTGGTTCCAAGTATTTTGACCTAGGGAGGGTCAACCAATCCACACTTGCATAGGCACCAGAAACAGGGCCAAAGTTGCATGTGGTTCTGTACCATCCAGTCCTGAGTGAACCAGTGTCCAGGCCATTTGTGGAGGGGAGAGGTACAATTTACAGGCCCTGATGAACCATAGGAAACTTCCACCGTATCCAAGTCCCAGTCTGTCGGCCCCATATCCACCTTATTTACAACAACCAATAGGGCCAGTAGTTTATTCTCCAGGGCCTATGGTGAAGTCTACCTACCCCTCAGGGGTATCCCTAGCAAGAATACCCACAGTATGGCTGGCAGGGTGGACCTCAGGAACCTCCTAAAACCACACAGTATGTGATGGGACAGAAAGGAAGACAGAAGACAGTGCCCTGCCTTCTGCTGCTGCTGCCTTTTGGACAGCTTCGATTGAGCAGTCCAGACACAGGTCCCTTGTGGCCTCCTGGTGTGGTGCTGTGGGCTAATGCGGCAGACTGCAAAGTCAGTTTGAACTGCAAGGTCAGTGGTTCAAGCTCACCAGCTGCTCTTTGGAAACCCTATAAAGGGTTGCTATGGGTCAGAATCAACTTGACGGCACTTAACAATTGGAATTGACAACTGGTATTGTGCTCACTCACACAAACGAGGCAGAAACTGGACAGTCAGATCAGGTTTGGCACCTGTCTGTTCCTCCCATGACCCAGCAGGCTTGGAAAATATGCACAGTGTAGGGGCAGGGTGGGAGGAGTGGAGTTGGAGGAGAATACACAGAAGAGAGATTTTCAGCTAAATTTTGCTTCCTGACCATTTCTTCAAGATATTTTTTCTCATCCTTGTAAAGCTGGAATTTGTTAGGCTACTTCTCCAGACCTTGCTAGGAAAGGTTAAGTGAAAGGCTGACAGAAAACAGAAAAAACGTCCTGTTTTCTATTAATTGTCTCCTCACTCTTATGTATTTCTTCCTCTTTTCTCTTCCCTCTTCTATTTAGGCAAGAAGTTGCCCTAATCTCAACCAGCTGCTGTGGGCAGGGAGGTTTTCCTTTCTTTTTGCTAACATCAAAAAAACTTCTGTGGTTGTCTCACAGGACAAATAGCCTCAGAATCGGTTTTGTCGGAAAATGGATTGAAAAGCAGTATTTTATGATCACTAAATTAACAGCCTTTCGTTTAGTTTTTAATGTTTTATTGTGAATTATTTCAGTTTATTTTTGCATCACTTATTTCTTACAGTGGTTTTAATGATCTGTCCTCCATTTTAAGAATGATTTACAATCTGTTTTGCCACCTGCAGGATTTTTCAGTCTATTTTTCTATAATCTTTGAAAACTCAGTCCAGCAGGACATCCTATTGGTGATGTGTTAGGGACTCTGAGCTTTCCCGAAGAGTAGGAAGCACTGAGCTATCAGTTCCCTTAGCCCCCTCCCTCCCTACTAGTGAGTTAACTCTTTTAATTCCTTTTGGCCAAACCAGAAAACTATACAAACAGGCAACTCTTGAGGACTGGGTGAAGGATTTCCTATATTCTTTGCTTTAACTAACCACCATGCGTACATAAGGGAGCCCTGGTAGTATAGTGGGTTATGAATTGGGTTGCTAATTGTAAGGTCTGCAGGTCAAATCCACCAGCGACTCCTCTGAAGAACATTGAGGCTTTCTGTTCCTGTAAAGGGGTGGGGGGCTATGAGTTGTAAATGACTCAAGGACCCCCACCACCACGCATGCATATACATAAATCACAAAAGGAATACCAAAGATTCCTAGATTTTATTTAGCCAAGAAGGGCATCTCTGTTTTCACTCACAAGGCAGCAAGTCCATTTTGATCCCCAAGTCACAACGTCCCTAATATTCCTCCCAAGTCACTACGTCCTTAAAACTCCTAAAATGGAGAACTAGCAGGAATGAGAAGCGAAAAGTTAAAAATATTACCTGCTGATGGGGATGTGTTCTCTGGGCTGGTTTCAGCAGGAAGTGTGGATAATGTGGGCGATGACTAGGGATGCTAGATTTATTTCATCAGGATTGCGGAAGTCTGCGCCAGCAATTCGCTGGAAAATTTGGACATGGGAGGGAGGCGGGGATAAAAATGCTGAGGTGGTGGTGGTGGTGTGCTGTGGAGTCAGTTCCTACTCATAGCGACCCTGTATAGGGTTTGTGAGGCTTTAACTCTTTATGGGAGCAGAAAACTTCATCTTCCATCCACAGAGGGTCTGGCAGATTCAAACTGCTGAACTTGCGGCTGGCAGTGCAATTCATAACCCAGCTACTGAGGCCCTTTTATGCTGAGAGGTTAACAAAAAGGGAAAGAGGGACTGGATTTGCATCTGGGTGATCAGCTAGGTCTGTAGTTCTGATTGTATTTATTTCATTAGCAGACTAGACCTCAATACAAGTTAATCACATTGGGGCTTAGCTTCTCTCTCTCTCTCTCTCTCTTTTTTTAATGTTTTATTGTGAATTATGTGATAGTTTACATGGGAGAACATTGGTTTTACATTCATTCTATCGTATAGTCTCATTGCCATGGCTACAATCCCCTCCATGCAATCCTTCCCCGTGCCCCCCAGGTCTTCAGCACACAGTCGCTCTTCCTCTCAGGATCTAAAGTCTCCAGCTGCTCCATTGCTCCACATCATCATCTCTGACTCCATTTCAGGCATCACTGCTTCTCTGGGTAGGGTCCCACTCTCTGCTCTTCTCCCTTGATGGTCCTAGGGACCTCCGCTTCTAGACTGAAAAGTTAATCACTCCCCTCCTTACTATAAAATGTCTACCTTTACATTTCCAACCCTCACAATCAGTCCTGATAACAATTATTCACTATTGTATCACAAGAGACCCATCTGTATTTCATTGCATCAGCCCTGGCTAGTTAGACTGAATACTACTCACTGGAGATTCTACCTTCCTCCAGGCCCTCTGGATCTAGGTTCCCTCTTGAAAGCTTGTAAGCCAGTCACTTCTTGCCTTTGTAGCCCCCCAGCTCCCATTTTGGGTAGCCAATGTCCAAGTTGCCCATCCCTGTCTACTCTGTGTGTGGAGGGGTTGGAAATGATTCTTGCTGTTAGGACTTGTTCCCTCTTTTGAGCTACTGCTTCCATAGGTGTAGGTCAAGTTCATCAAATTGTATGAGAATACTTTTTTTTTTTCCTCTTCTTTTTACTTCTGGTTGAGCTCTGATCATCCAGTCACTGAAGCCAGGACAAGTGGGTATTATCTGCAAGTGTGGGTGTTCTTGTGCATATGCCCTCTCTTCTTACCAGCGGGACACTTCACTCTCCACTCTAGTCCTCTGTGGCTATGTCACTGATTCTGGGCCCAAGAGTCCCCAGGTCTTGCCACACTGCTGGCCAACCAGGTCTCCACCCAGGTCCGCAGGGGTCTATTGAACATTGTAGGGCTTAGCTCACAGCTTCATTGCTGTTTTTCCCTCACCAATCACAGCATGTATTCCCATTGAGTCTTAGTCTTGGAAGGGGGTTTGCACTGAGGGGACCCGACCACTGCTTAGCTTGTCTTTGATGGGTAAAAGCACTTGTCTCCCCTATCCTCTTTAATCATTACCTTGTTATTGTCCACCTCCTCAACTTTGAAACCTGTTTTCAAAATTTGTCTAATCAGCATCTCAAGGATGAGGGAATAAACACTAAATCCTGGAAGCAGTAACACAAGGGTAGTCCCTAACTAACAAAAAATGATATTGCTTCTAGGGAAATAGCCTGCTTGTTTTGCTGGCGAAGGATACACTCTGTCAGAGACAAGGTCTGGATGAAATCAGTTCTCAAAGTAAACCAAAACAGCATTCCTGGTTTTTTATGACAGCACTAACTCAGTACCTTTAGTACTGAGGGACTCACCTGTGCCTTGTTGAGGTTAAAAACTCTTCAGATGGTGGGATATCTAATGAACTTTATCTGTCTAAATTATTAAAATCTCTGATGCAGGTCGTCACATGAGCTTTTCCAAATGCTTCCCTCAACATCCAGGCATGTGACAGATCATAAGAATCTAGCTCAGTGCCCAAGCCACACCCTAAACCCCACTTTCTTCCATAAACAGACTGGGGGAGGGGGAAAGAGGGCCCTGGGGATAGAAAGGATAATACATTGAGTTCTAGATTCCTTTTCTAGTCAAGCTGTATAGATCTCAGGCTTATAAGCCTTATGTCTTACAGTTGCTAGAATAGCTAATGGACAGTATTTTCTCTACTAGAAAGAAACCAGGTCCAAATCTAAACAACTTATGTTTCTTAGCACCTAAGGTGCTGCGGGTTAATGCATCAGACTGCAAAGCCAGTTGAACTGCAAAGTCGGTGGTTCAAGCTCACCAGCTGCTCCTTGGAAACCCAATACAGGGTAGCTACGGGTCAGAATCAACTCGACAGCATTAACAACTCCTTTTAGGAGCCCTGTAGTGTAGTGGGGAAAAAGATGAAGTGTCTCCTACCATAAAAGTTTAGTATCAGAAACCCTATGGAGCAGTTCTACTCTGTCCTATGTGGTTGCTAAGAGTCCAACTCCACAGCAGTAGGTGAGAATGAACTCCTTTTAATCCAGAAGAGGACACTGTAGGGGAGGGTATCCAGAAGTGCCCTTGTGGTCTCAAGCCCCAAATCTCTTTCCCCTTCTGAGGACTTGGGCAATTCCCTCAACCCCCTTTTGGTCAGAATGTCCCTTCTGCTTTTATGATTTTGCTCAGATGTGTCATGATCAGGAGGGCAACCAAGGCGGAGGGATGGCTAAGTGATCATAGCCCTGTGGTTTCTGAATCTTGAAATTTTACAGGAATATGCTTTATTTCTGTATGTTTGGAGTTCAAGCTATGGATTTGTCTAGATGTGGGTGCCAGTTGTTAAGGAAGTGAAAAGGAATGAGAAGCCGCAAATAAGATTACACAGGAAATTGTACAAAAGGAAAATATATTTTGTTTTAAAATCTTTGCTACATATCATTATTTTTGCCACTGTAAGGCTCAGCACAGACGCTAGCAGTACAGAAACAGCCAACAAGAAAAAACAAAACAAAACCCAAACAATCAAAAATAAAACCCTGAAGGAAAAGCAGAAACAAAACCCCCAGAGCATCTTCTCCCTCCCCTCCCCTGTCCCCAAAGCCCTATAACTGTACAATATTATAGTCTTGATCACATTTAAAAAGTCGATTATTAAAAAACAAGGATTCCATTGGAAACTCAACTTTTTGGTTTCTTAAACTGTGGTATAAATATATATGTATACTGTATGTGTGCACATAGAATAAAAAAATAAACTGTCCCCTTTTAGACTCCACAACCTGGCATCAAACTGGAGACAAAGGGAGGGGAAATTCCGTAAATGGCATCCCCTTAGACCCTCCAAGGCCATCTGTGTTCCTCAGTCCCCTATGGCTACATTTAACATATTTCTTCTCCTTATTAATTCAGTCTTGCACTTAAGATACTGGCCTAAACCAATTACAAAATAACCAAAAAAAAAAAGCTGTCACAAGGCATTGTTACCTGAGGAGGGTAAAGGGTGAGAGAAGTAACCTGTATCTGCATCTTATGGCTATTTAGTTAATTACTAAGTGACCCTGTTGAAATTACACTTGCATTTTAAAGCCGACATCCAATCTCAAGATTGGAGGGCGAGCAAAGAGTTACGAGCTATAGGCCTAGGGGAGACCAAAGTCTCTACACTTCTTGCCAGATTGAACACTGAAGATGGGATGATAGAAGCTACTTTGAAAGAAGGCTTGGTATTTGCTTTACATCCCAACAATATGATTTTCACTCAAGATTAACCCAAGAAGTTGAGTTTCCACGTAGAAATAACCTCTACAGAACACACATCATATGTGATTCTGACAGAAAATGCAGCATTGTCTTTATGGCCAAGTCTGGGGTTTCTGAAAGTGTTTATCTTGCCAGCACATTTCTGTAATGTTTGCAGATCTTCCATATACGGTGAGAGCACCAAAAGCAGGAATGACCCAGCCTTATCACTAAATATATTTGATGAGAGACAAACCATGTTAACAGAAGACTTTATACATTTGCTCACAGTTGCATATTATCTGGGCATAAATGTAAGTGCAGCAAAGACATTTATTTAAATACTCTTTGGCTGCTATACTAAGTGGAAATACCTGGAAGATTTAATTCCTTAGAACTCTTTGAAAAACACACAGAAAGACAAACTCTGGGACAAATTTTGCATAACTCCCTAATAGGGAGAAAAGGAAGAACACACTCACACATATATATACACACTCTCTCACTCATTCACTCTCACCCTCCCTCCCTCACAAGTTTCTTTCCAGAGGAATTGCTCACAGGCAGCAGAAAGCGCCTATGCTCGTTTCCTAAATCCCATATATACTTACCAGGGTTCATGGTCCTCAAATATGAGGACTCTTCTCCTATCCTCCATCCTATTCAGAATTGCTTTCCAAAAACATGCCACAGCATCCAAGGCAAATAGTGGGTGTCAGGTTCTTCTAACCTGAGCCCCTTGACCCTAGCATAAATCCTCTCCACAAAAAATTCTGGTCAAGAGACATAAGGAAAGGCATTCTTAACCTCACCTAGCCTCAATTTTCCAAAGGGCCCCAAACTTGGGAATTCATTCCATTGCATCTATAAATGTTATCTCAAGGTTAGGGGAAAGACCAGAATTGAAAAGGGATACACATTAGGGGTGAGGGAAGGGAAGGGAGAGGAACTATTATTCTGTTTACAGAAAGATTTGCTTTTTAAAACAAATGGTGATTTTTCTCCCTCACTCCTTATCCCCACCCCAATAGTTCTATTCTGAAAAGGAGGGAAACATAGTTAAATCAGGAAATTCTTCATTGTTATAGTTGTTGCTCTGGTCTCCCAGCATGGACAACATCTCCTAGAGAGAAAAAATAGAGTAAGTCTGGGTTACTCACTTCGATCCTTTATACTTACAGAGCTCTCTCCCAACATCCCTCTGCACCACTATTCCTGACCCCAGAGTGTTTCTACTATGCTGAGCTCTCTCATTCCCAAAAGCTCTCTAATTCCTTTAGATGACAGCCTTTTTTCTAGTCCTTTCCCTACCTTCCTCCTATATTTCCCCATGTTCCCTCTTTTTGAGTCTTTAATATTTTGAAGGAAAAAAACAAATCTACTTGTCACATTTCATGTGACCTTCTGTAGATACATAAGGTGTTTTCTACCAACAGCTGTTTTGGCTTTCTTTCAGTCTTTTAAACTAGTTTTCTTTGCCTGCCTAATATTACTCCACTGATTCTTGCAGGATCCTGAGGACCTACATATCTTTATATCAATAGTCAGTATGTTCTACTTCCATTTTTTTCCCCATAGGTCTTGTTTTATATCTAGAGCAACTCTCATGTGGGGATGTAGCTCTCTTTAAATGGGCTAAAACAACTTTCTTTGGCATATTTGCATGGTGCATGATTCAAATCCTAGTTTTATCGGGTCTGGTTAAAGGCTGTGCAATAACCCCAAGTTCATGATTTTTTCCAATTAGTGATATTGATCTCTATATGTCCCTTCCTTCTCTGTCTTCTCGTACACACTCTCAACCAAGTGCTTTTATCTAAGCATGTTTCCTTCTGTCTCTCTTTCCTGAGCCTTCCTTTCCCAGTTCTGACTTTTCTAAAGTTCTTTTCTCACTCTCACCTGGAAGACCTCAGGCTGGCTGGGTTGCTGTGCTGCTGACTGTTGAACATGTTGCTCATTAGAACTTGATCGATGATGAGCCTGCTGGCCCTGCCACTGCGGCCACACACCCACACCCTCTGCTGTCCGTGTCTGGAATTGTCCTGCAGTCTGTCCAGCCTCAGGAGCTAGAAAAACAGCAAATAAACTACTTCAATCTATTAACTCCATTGGAGATAAGAAACTAGCACATAAAACAGGGAAGCTATTAATTTTACCCAGAATACTAACTGTCCTTCTCTCTGCCAATTAATATCTCTTCTGCTTCAAAACCCAGTAGGATAAGCACTGGACTTCTAACCGGAATGTTGGCAGTACAAACCCATCAGTCACTCCTTAGAAACCATATTCTTGTTCTTGTTATGTGCTGCCAAGTCGGTTCCGATTCATAGTGATCCTGTATAGGGTTTCTGAGGAGCTGCTGGTGGGTTTGAACTATCGACTTTGCGGTTAACAGTCCACTGCTTATCTTACAGTGACATACCAGGAGTCCCGGACACCCTATATAGGGTCGCTATGAGTTGGAATTGATTTGACAGCACTTTACAACGGACAGCTTTTCCAAAGAATCTAATGCTCATTTATATTTAGTCTGCACCTTATTAAATTATAAGTTACACACGTTTTGGATTATGTGCTAAAGTGCTTTTTAATGTAGGAGCTCTGGTAGTGTAGTGGTTATGAACTGGGTTGCGAACCTTAAGGTCAGCGGTTCGAAACTACCAGCTGCTCCGCGGGAGAAAGATGAGGCTTTCTACTCCCGTAAAGATTTACACCCTCAGAAACCCTGTACAGGGTCGCTATGGGTTGAAACTGACTCGACAGCACTTAACAACAAACAACAAGGCTGCTTTTTTTTTTTTTTTTTTCCATCTTCAAGAAAGTTAAACTGTATTGGCTATAGTTGTATCATGGACCTGACATCTAGTCAGTGGCCTATTTTGGGGACATGGGGAGTACAGACCATACTATGTGACAATGTCAGAAGGTGTGACACCAAAACTACTGTGTATAAAATTTTGTACAATGTTTCATCAAAAATGTATTATTTTTTCATTAAAATTTCCTAGTAGAGAAAGTAGAAGTGCTATTACACTGTGGGGCTTTCTATCAGTGTCATAAATCAAAGTGAGTATGAATTGTTGCATGGAAAACCAGTTTTCACTGTAATCTTTCACCCGAATCACAATAAAAAGTTTTTTATAGAATGCAAAAATTTTTAAAAGAAAGAAAAACACACATAATATTGCAATACCATAATTCAATACCATGAAACAACAGAGATACTATTTTAGGGATGTATGTGAGAAATTTTTAAGAAGGCAGGGGAAGTTGCACTCAATATTCAGAATGGTACTTATCTCTGGGCAAGAGAGAGCTAGAATGTACTAGATGAAGTTCATGAGAGGTGCCTCCAATATATTCTTTTTTAAAGTAGGGGATACACATACATTTTCATCACTATTTTGATAATGCACATGTATTTGGTAAGTATTTTAAAACATTTATCTGTAGTCAATATTTAATAAGAACAATGAAAATAATCTAAAACTAAAATAGAAACACGGTTTTGAAATGGTTGCACAAATCTGGACTGTGACTTAAAATGGACATCTATATATACAATAGTCTCTGAGCATTGGTTCATGTGTTCTGGAGTTGAGTTTTAGTGTGACTGCAAATTACCAGGCTCCTGGTTAGGTTCAGCTTTCTGCAAGTGAAGGTACTTCACAGATTCCATCTTCAAAACATAATTTAGAGATAGTTTGACCCTACATTCTCATTTCTAAGTTGACCCAGAGGAAGAATCTCTTTTCATACAATATGTATCAATGGGATCTTGATATCCTCCAGGCATATAGGGCATTCTCTGAAATCTGGAGTTGCCCATCTGTGAGGTCAGACTCCAAGTCTTTCTATCTCTAAGTGTACCTGTGACTCTCTGTCAACCTTCTGTCGACCTTCCGAGTAACTTCAAAGAAGTTTATTTCCTCTTTTCTAATTTCATTTTTTAGACCTTCCATGCTGGAGATCCTAGTTCCACTGTGCCAAACATCATCTTTCGCTCATATTTGTATGCTTGCCAATCTGTACTTGGGGGCTTTTTCAGAATCTGGAAAGTTGTGATATCAGAGGCAGTAGCACAGGTGGCAGCATCCATGTAGGTAGGTTTTAAATTCTAAGTCGATTCCCCACAAATAGGTCGGTATACCCAGGACACAGGCAAACAATTTTAACTAATAAAAAAAGATCTTTCTGTTACCCTCCTTCTGAAGTGAACTCACCAAAGTTGGATCCATGGTTCGTGAGACTAGGATAGGCAGCAGCACCAGGTGATGTCGTAGGAGCACCAGGGAGGGACATGGGGCTGAAGGAGGATGGAGTCTGAAAGTTGCCCACAGCAAACTGGGGAGAACGAGTCTTGGCTGTGGCCTGGGAAGTCACCTGCTAAAGGAGAGAAGAGCATAGGGACTGACAAATGATAGATTAAGAGTACTGCACATACTATCCTAGTAGAGTCAATCCTCAGGCAATTAGTGGATCTTTTGGAACCAAGTTCATCACTTATTTCTTATATTTCTTTATTCTCAGTGACACTGTTTTTTAGGCATCTGTGATATAGTACAAAAACCAAAGAATTATGGGATTAATAAAATCACACATTAGTGGTTGTGGGGATTAAATGAAGTGATTTAAACTGTACAGCTAAGCACTGGACTGCTAACCATAAATAAGATCAGTGGTTCAAACTCACCAGCCACTCTTTGGAAACCCTACACAGGGTCACTCTGAGTTGGAACTGACTTGATGGCACTTAACAACACAAAAAGTTACATAAAAGCCAGAGGTATTCATAACGGTATTATACGTAGGGGGGAATCGCATAATTAATTATTTAGTCTATATATATTAATTAGTTCCTGCGTTGTTGCTAAGTGCCATCGAGTTGGTTATGATTCATACACCCTATACAGCCTTTCTGAGGAATGGCTGGAGAATTGAACTGCCAACCTTGAAGTTCAAACTGACCTTGAGGTTGAGTGCTTATCCTACAGCGCCACACCAGAACTCCTAATGATTTTTGTTGTTTTTAAAGTGAACATTTTTTTTTTCTTAACAAAATAGTAATGGATATTTGCAAAGTGAAGGGACATTAAAAAAAAAAAAGAACAATTTATAATTTCACCACCAGAATGGTTAACAGTTTTTAGATAATTCCTCATTGTTTTTATTTTCCTATAATTAAAAAAAATAGATACAATTAAAAGGTCTCATTTTGAAGCATTCAATACGGTTCTAAGAAGATTTACAACTTACTAGGAACTAATAATGTCAACAGAACCCACTGTGCTGAAGGATTCACCTCTATCTTTTTTGAAAGCCAAGAAATGGCACTTGCAACACCAAAAGTCATAACAGAGTCAGGTAGTATGACCTGTGACGGACCCATGAGCAACCTGAAGAGTGCAAATAGAGAGATGATCTCTCCAAAGATCATCAAGTTAGAAACATGAGAAGGGTTATTAAAGAAGACTTTGAAAATATTATAGCTATTATCACAGCTCTTAACATAAGCTTAAAATCTTTGAATGTAAAGATTGATAAGCTGTTGTCCAATGTCACCTTCCTGACCTTACAGACAACTCCTGTGCTTATTATACCAGTCACTCCATGGGATTCAAATCCACCTCCAACTTCTACTGCTGCTTCTTTAAAAAAAAATAGATACAGGAGCTCTGGTAGCAGAGTGGTTACGAATCGGGCTGTGAACCTCAAGGTCAGCAGTTCGAAACTACCAGTTGCTCCGCAGGAGAAAGATGAGGCTTTCTGCTCCCGTAAAGATTTACAGCCTTGGAAACCCTGTTTAGGGTCACTATGGGTTGGAACCAACTCTACAGCACTTAACAACAACAACAACATAATAGCAATTCTGGAGTCTGCTTTTGGTTTTGGCTTTTTTTATTTAAAATGTTACTTGTAAAATGTAAATACGTATTAATATAAGGGTAAGTCAAAAAGTACTAATAACTAGTGTAACAGTTTATATACAGTCACAGGTTTATTCCTTTAACCTGTCTCTGTGATAAGTGCATGGATATAGACACGTTCTCTCAGTAATATACTTGTCTAGGTCTCATTACGGTGCCCTTTAACAAAAAATGGATGCTTTTTTTGCCATAAGGGGGAAAAAAACCAATTCTGAAGTTATGGATAATATGAAATTTTTAATAAAACTCAAGTGGAATACCTTCCCAAATCACTGAAGCTGTGCTACTCCCCCCCAACATAAAACAACTGTTTTTACGTGGATAAATTCTTTTAAGTAAGGTTACAAAGACCTCAAAGATGGGCCAAGAGAGGAAAGTCCATCAACCTCAACAAATGAAGAAACTGCAGCTGAAGTCCAGAAACTGGTAGAAGATGACCTCAGAATTGCCACCGATATTACAGATACTGACGCTAGGATCTCACATGGTCTGGCATTTTCATGTTAAGTGAGCATCTTGGTCTCAACAAATTTTCGACTGGGTGAGTACCAAAAGGATTAACCAATATCAGCTAGCTCAAACAGCTGATCTTTCCATCAGTCTTTTAAGCAAGTCAAATTTAGGGAACATAATTTAATTGAAGGAATCACAACCAAGATGAGTCTTGGATTTACTAATAAGATCCACAGAGCAAAGCCCAATCAAAACAGTGGCTTCTGAGGGGATCTGCTGGGCCAGTTTAATTCAACACAGAGAGGTCAATTCAGAAGTTATGGCGCTTGTTTTTTTGGGTTCCAAAGAGGGATTCTTGATAGATTTTGTCAAAGTACACAGGACAGTCATATGGGCTTATTAGGAAGATTATTTTAAGTTAACTGCATTGGTGAGAGAAAGGCCAGGAGCCTAGGAATTTTTTTCCATTAAGACAATACACATGTTCATTCATCAAGGTTGACAAGGGCTGTCCTAGGAAAATTTCTTTAGAAAACCTTACCCCATCCACTCTACAGCCCTGACCTTGCCTTTTCAGACTTCTTTTTGTTCCTCAAACTCAAAGAACATTTGAAAGGACCATAATTTGAGTTCCTCAAGGATGCCAAAATTGCCATTTTGATGCAGTATATAATACAAGAGTGCAGATTCTTCAAGGAAGGGTTAGAGAGAGAGAAACACTATCTTCAGTTGTGTACAAACCTAGATGGAGGATATGTGAGAAAAACAATAGCTTCACATTTGGATATTTTTGTTTAATAAAGGTGCCTATATTTTATACAAATACTTTTTCACTTACCTTTGTATATGAAAAACTATATACTTTGGGTTTAATATATACAAAATATAAGAACTTTCAATAGCATTTTTGGTAAACAGATATTGCTATTGCTAAGTGCTGTTGAGTTGGTTCTGACTCTTAGCAACCCTGCATTAGGGTTTCTAAGGAGTGGCTGGTAGGTTTGAACCACTGACCTTGCAGTTAGCAGTCCAGTGCTTATCCTACAGTAGTCACACCAGGACTCCAAATAGACATTACTGTATATAAGCTAGTATTAAATTGTCACCTTTGTACTTCTATCTACAAAGTGGAAACTTCTTAGAATTTACTCTAAGGAATCACTCACTCACTGCCATCAAGACAATTCTAATTCAAAGTAACCCTGTATAGGGTTTCCAAGACTGGAAATCTTTACCCAGAGCAGACAGCCTCATTTTTCTCTCACAGAGTGACTGTTAGGCTCAAACCGCCAACTTTGAGATTAGCAGTCCAGTGTTATAGTACCACACCAACACTTCTGCTCTCAAAGGAGTGAGGATCTGAAAATCAAACCTATTCAAAATGTTACATGTGCAATTATGATCTAAAATGGGTATGTGAAAAGCTTGAATGCTAATGAAACTTCTGGATTTGGGTTATCTATGTTTTTTTTTTTTATCTTGGAATTATCAATCTACTTTTAAATAAAGACAAAAACTGGAAAGGAAAGAAAGGGAGTTTAAAAAGGAAGGTGTCTAAGACTGACACCAATAATTTCACATATGGGAAAAACCAACCAACCAACCAAGGCTAAAACAATACACATACAGGGACAGCCGAATAAGAAGCTTACCTGGGCAGAGAAGCCTGGGCGAGTGCTAGGGGTCCAAGTTGGGGCTGCTCCCTGTGTGGGGTTGGAGTGTCGGGAAATCTGGGCTAACATCTGCCCTGCAGAAGCTGAAGGCTGAACAATGGTTACAGGAGGAGCCAGACCACTATTCCTAGGAGTGAACAAATAGTGACGTAAAAGGATTAAAATGTTGACTTTATCACAGAAGCTAGGAATCAAAAGATAATCTAGTACTATCCTTAGGTCCTCTAAGAAAAACTTGATAACTAAATTCAGAAAAAAACGAGAAGGACTGACAGTCACACACTGACCAGGACAAACAGAATTGGAACCTATAACATGGCACTAGGATAGGTGAAAAGAAAGAGGAGGAAGAAAAGCAGCTTGCCTCACCCCTAGGCCCTGCAAGCTCCATTGTTTTATCCGAAATAATCAAGGAATGTTAAGGAAGAATACAACTTGGATTCTGCAACTGAATCCCTCAGGGCCTTGTACAGCAGAACACACATATGGGGCTCACCTGAAATTCTCTGTCGGCCGGGGGGTAGGAGGGAATGTGTTGCCCTGGGAGAATAGCTGTTGGGTGGCAGGGACAGTGCTGGAAGAGATGCCTTTACTCTGATCTGTGGACCAAAAGGAGTCGAGGGGAGGGCCAGTCAAGGGGCTGTAGTTATTAGATCCAGCAAGTTCTATGCATTTATGAGGTGTTATGATTAAGTGGAAATATGTTGGAATACTACTGGCTGGGCAGTAGCCAGCCCATTAACAAGAGATCTAAATGAGAACTTAAAAGAGAACTGAGGACAATATAAACCTGCATTGATGTTGGAATAGATTTCTGAAAAACGTGGATCTCTATCCTGGGCAAACAGACCATCTGACTTCTCAAGGGCTTTGTTGTGCTCTGGCCCTGTGGTTGTCACAGGCTGAACAGAGACCTGTAGAATGCAAAGATAAAAATAACCACGGATGATTTAACAGAATAATCTCAAGCCCTAAAATCTACAAGATTCATATACTCTTAGTAGGCAATGGGGGTATTTTTTTAAGGAAATGCTCTCCGTCCTCTTCAAGGAAGAAAACAAACACACCTGTGGATGATTGTAGTTGGCCAGTCCATCTCTTCCTGGGATCACTTCTAATTCTGTTTGCTGTTGCTGCTGCCTATATGTGAAAGGCCAATAAGGAGAGAAATGGACAAAAAGACAACTTTGTAAAGTAACCTAGGGGAACTTAAAAAAAAAAAAAAAAAAAACAACCAACCAAAGATGGTACAGCACATGGTCATCTTCTGGGCTAGTGACATCCCAGCAAATGATTCTTCCACTATTCCTCACCTGGGTGCCAGCTGCCCTGAGCTCATCTCCAGGGGTAAATTAGCTGGGGGACCTAGCTGTGGTCTCTGGATTGTGCTGGAAAGCGTAGGCCGTGGTTCTTGGCTAGAGTTCCTGGGAAGAGAGAGTGTAGACAGAACAACAACAAAAAACAAAACAAAAAGAATCTGACCCTGGTTTGTACATAAAGCTCTACAGATTTAATGTACAGATAGGACAATCACTAGTAAATTACTTTTTAAAGTTCAATCCTACAAATAATCTCTGATCTCAGTTTCAGCAAATAATTCATAATGCAAGCAAAATAGTAACTATGTTTTCTGGCCCAAGGGTTCATCCTGTTTGGGTTCTAACTGGTTCTAGGTATTTAGCACACAGTTGAGTATGTGTGTGTGTGTGCATATGCACACAAACACTGAGGAAAAGTTAGGAAGAAAGGAAGAGAAATAGACAAAAAACAAGACTGAGAATGAGAAAACGCTGAGGAAAAAATTGTTCAACGGTTGATGTAATTTTATAAATGTAAGTAAACTGAGGACACAAAAAGGCTTAGAACACCTGCCACCACAAAATAATTAACCACAGAAAGTATTCCCAGATTTCAAGCCACTGAAAGCAATAACTATGTTTGCTCCAAAAATATAATTCTAGGTGTCTACTACATGTGACTTTATGAGACTTCAAAGTCTGTGGGCAAATGGAAATGAAAAGATAATATAACTTTCACACAAACTTTTTTTAAGCACCCATATATATGACCTGATTAACATAGTTCAATCTCTGACTACTTTTGCTATTCCTTTTGATAATATTTTTTGTTGTCAAGCCATCATAGTGACTTATGTGACAGAGTAGAATAGCACAATAGAACTTTCTTGGCTACAAGCTTTATGGAAGCAGATTACCAGGTCTTTCTCTCGAGGAGCTGGGTGGGTTCCAGCTGCAATTGAGTGCATAATCATTTGTGCCACCAAAGTACTTGACAATTAATTCACTTTTTTACTTTTTATTGTGAATTGGGTGATGGTTATGAAGCAAATTTTCTATTCAGTAATTCATATACATTTCATATCACTGATTGCAACCTCCCACAATGTAATATTCCTCTTCCTAGTGTCTCCCAATGTCTTCCATTTTCCAGTCCTCCTAAGTTCCTACCCCTTCCTGCCTTCTGAATGTTGTCCTTAGGCAAGTTCTGCACTTCTAATCTCACAAGGCTAACTGCTCAGAGCGTGTACCTTTCTAGTGTTATTAGTCATCTACTATTACTGTAGATCTGTTGTATGGTTGAAAACTGAGCTATGGAGATGAGCTCAGTTCTAGGCCTGAAAGGTATCTAAGGACCAGTCTTCTGGGTTACACTAGTCTTGTTTTGGTCAGAAGTCTGGTCTTTGATTATGCTTTTGAGTTTTGCTCTACATTTTCTCCAACTCTATGCAGGATCTTCTAATGTAATCCCTTCTAGACCAGTCAGTCGGACACCATATAGCTCTGATGGTCTCAGAGTTATGCAGTCTGAGATTTGTGTGGTCCATTAGTATTCTGGACTAATAGTTGGTAACAAAATATTTTTGATGAATATTTTTGCAGACTTTCAATGTTAAATTATAAGTTAACTAAAGGTTGTTCCTAGGTGTCACTGAGTCGGTTCCGACTCATAGTTGACCCTAGGCATAACAGAACAAAACACTGCCTGATTCTGCGCCATCCTCACAATTGTTGTTACACTTGAACCCATTGCTGCTGACACTATGCTTATCCATCTCACTGGGGTTTTCCTCTTTTTTGCTGACTTTCCACTTTACCAAGCATAATGTCCTCCTGATAATATGTCCAAAGTATGAGAGATGAAGCCTGGCCATCCTGGCTGTACTTCTTCCAACACAGATTTGTTTGTTCTTCTGGCAGTCCATGGTACTTACAATATTCTTTGCCAACACCATAATTCAAACACATCAATTCTTCTCTGGTCGTCTTCATTTGTTGTCTAACTGTCACATGCATATGAGGCTATTGTAAATATCATGTGATTTCCAGCATTATTTCTATCACCAAGGTCATATTTTTAAACTACTGATCCTTCTACTTTGTTTACAACCTTTGCATTCCAATCACCAGTAATTATCAATATATCTTGATTGCATGTTTGATCAATTTCAAACTGAAGAAGGTAGAATTCTTCAATTTCACCATCACTGTGGTTGGTACATAAATTTGAACAATAGTGGTATTAACTGGTCTTACTTGTAGGCATACAGATCTTATCCTATCACAGACAGTATTTTACTCATAGATAGATATTGAAACATTTTTTTAAATTATGAATGCTACACCAATACTTCTACAGTCTTCCTTATTCACTGCCCACCTTTCACAAGCATATAAGGCTATTGAAAATACCATGGTTGGAGTCAGGTGCAACTTAGTCCTCAAGCTGATATTTTTGAAATTGAATATTTTAAAGACGTCTTGTACAGATTTGCCTAATTGTTTGATTTCTCGACTGCTACTTCCATGAGTGTTGATAGTAGATCTAAGCAAACCAAAGGACTTAACAACTTTAATCTTTACAACTTATTGGTTCAGTTGTTAGGATTTAACTTGTTTTTTTTCAGTGAAGAGATTGCTTTAACAAGCAAATGGAAGAAATGAGAATGTAAAAGAGCTGAACAGAAAATTTCAAAGGGCAGCTTGAGAAGACAAAATCAAGTATTATAATGAAATTTGCAAAGACCTGGAGTTAGAAAACCAAATGGGAAGAACAGGCAACAACTTCAATCTTAGCAACTTATTGGTCCAGTTGTTAAGGATTTTTGTTTTCTTTACATTGAGGTGCAACCCATCCTGAAGGCTGTGGTCTTTGATCTTCATCAGTATAAATTTTAAGTTCTCTTTACTTTCAGCAAGCAAGGTTGTAATAATATCTTCATATCCCAGGCTGTTAATCAGTCTTCTTCCAACAGTGATGCTACGTTCTTCTTCATATAATCCAGCTTCTTGGATTACTTACTTAGCATACACACTGAATAAATCTGGTGAAAGGATACAAACATGATGCACACCTTTCCTGATTTTAAACCATTCATTCTGTTCAAACAATTGCCTCTTGGTCTATTTACAGCTTCCTCATGAGTACACATAAGCGTTCTGGAATACCCATTCTTTTAAATATTATCCATAGCTTGTCATAATCCACACAGTCAAAAGCCTTTGCATATGCATAGTTGATAAGGTACAGGTAAACATCTTTCTGGTATTTTCTGCTTTCAGCAAAGAGCCATCTGACATCAGCAATGATATCCCTTGTTTCACATTCTCGTCTGAACCTGGCTTGAACCTCTGGCAGTTCTCTATTGATACACTGCTGAAGACATTTTAAAATTATCTTCAGAAAAATTTTACTTGTGTGTGATATGAATGATACTGTTCAATGATTTCTGCATTTAGTTGGGTAACCAGTCTTTGGAATGGGCACAAATATGGATCACTTCCAATCAGTTGATCAGGTAGCTGTCTTGCAAATTTCTTGGCAAAGATGAGTGGATGTATCAGTTTTTTTGAAGGATTTCAATTTTTATTTCATCAATTCCAAGTCTTGTTCTCTGCCAATGCTTTCAGTGCACCTTGGGCATATTTCTTCAGTACCACTGATTCTTGATCGTATGATACCTCTTGAAATGATTGAACATCAACCACTTTTTGGTACAGTGAGTGGCTCTGTATTTCTTCCATTTTCTTTTGATGCTTTCTGCATCATTCAATATTTTTCCCATAGAATTTTTCAATATTTCATTTAAAGACCTGAATTTATTCTTGCGTTTTTTTTCAAATTGCCTGTTCTTCCCATTTGGTTTTCTAACTCCAGGTCTTTGCAAATTTCATTATAATACTTGACTCTGTCTTCTCAAGCTGCCCTTTGAAATTTACTGTTCAGCTCTTTTACCTTCTCATTTCTTCCATTTGCTCTAACATCTCTTCACTGAAGAACAAGTTAGTCTCTTCTGACATCCCTTTTGATATTTTCCTTCTCTCCTGTCTTTTAAATGGTCTTTTGCTTTCTTCCTGTATGATGTCCTTGATGTCATCTCACAACCATTCTGGTCTTCAGTCATTAGTATCGAATGCATCTTGAGATGGTCTCTAAATTCAGGTGGGATATATGCTATTGTCATATTTTGGCTCTTGTGCATTGTTTTAAGTTTTTTCAGCTTCCGCCTGAACTTATTATATGAGCAATTAATGTGCAGTCTTGCCCTGGCCTTATTTTGGCTGATGATATTGAACTTTTCCATCGACCGTTTCCATGGATGTAGTCAACTTGGTTTTTACATATTCTATCTGGTGAGGTCCATGTGTATAGTTGTCTTTTGTTGTTTAAAAAAGGTTTTTGCAATGAGGAAGTTATTGGTCTTGCAAAATTCTATCATGTGATCTCCAGCATCATTTTCATCACTGAGGTTATTTTCCAGCCACCAATCCTTCCTGTTTGTTTTCAACTTTTGCATTCCAATCACCAGTAATTATCAATACATCTTGATAATTGATAATCTTGATTGCATGTTCGATCAATTTCAGACTGAAGAAGTTGGTATAATTCTTCAATTTCATCATCACTGGATTTAGTGGTTGGTGTGTAAATTTGAATAATAGTGTTATTAACTGATCTTCCTTATAGGCGTATGGATATTATCTTATCACAGACAGCATTGTACTTCAAGATAGATCTTGAAATGTTCTTTTTTGATGATGAATGTGACACCATTCCTCTTCAATTTGTCATTCTCGGAATAGTAAATCATATGATTTTGAACCAGTCATAGGTTTAGCTGAAGGTTGAAGCTATATATGCACAGGAATCCTTGGGGTTATGAATGAGATCCATTCCTGTGTCTTTTAAGAATCTGTAGGTAAGTCAGAACAGGTGCATATGGCTCTTTTTTTGGAAGGGCTGAAAGATGAATACTTTATTATTTACATGTATAAAAGAATGAGGAAGTAGAAACTGAGGAGTTTATAGACAGGGGCAGAAGATGACTCCAGTTCAGAAACTGATGATGAGCTTGTCTATTTCCCAGACTTCAGAGTTCCCTCCCATCTGGTAGGTTGGTGAATGA